CCAACGGAAACCACTTGGAGTAGCTCTTGTAGTGGTTTCCGTTGGTGATGATGTCGAAGCTGACCATGTTGCCGCTGTTTCTGCTGTTGTAGTAGTCGTAGTAGTGGTTTCCGTAGTGGTAGTGGTGGTTTCTGTTGTGGTAGTGGTAGTGGTGGTGGTGGTGGTAGTCGTAGTAGTAGTTGGTTCGGTGACGTTGAATGAAGAAAAAGTGACGCCAAGATTGAGGCTGATACCGCTACTAAGTGATATCGCGAAGGTAACTGCTGAATCAGTTCTTTGAATTGTGTTTTGAATGTTAGTTATATAACGGTTGGTACACGCTGTTGCTTGATTACATGAAATTGGATAGGTAAATTCCGTTTCAATCGTCAATAGTGTTTTCCATTTTAGGTTGGTGTCATTTGTGCTCGATGCGCTAAAATTTAGAGGTAGAGTAAAATATGTTTCTACTCTAAGAAGTACTTTTCATTTATGTGTTGGAAACTACTATCACGCAACTCAATAGATTGTATATGGACTGATAGATGCATTTTTGTATCTGTAGATGAAGAGTCGCAACTTGTTTCCTAGTTTCGTCTTGTTGACAGTATCTAGTTTTATATTCAGTGTTGTATTAGATTACTGTTGAACTAACCTTTGTCGTTTTTTTCTGCTCAAAATGAGAGTTCGAACGAATCGAGCTGAAAGTACTCGTACCATATTCCGAGACACGCTGTACTTTTTCGAAATCTATAGTAACGTTGAAACAGTTGTTTTATAGTAGAATCAAACTTATTCAAACAATCATTACTTGATCAGCAAGTCCTGAGAGATCAGTAATCTCCGATGATCCATTAGTTGCGAAGTTTGTTTCATAATTGAGAGTAGTAATAGTCGAGTCTGCGAGGAACATAAAATTGTTTCGATTATGAATGGAATATCATCATCATCTACTTTTTTACATACTTTTATCGTCGGTGAAACCAATCAAGGCAGTACTAGTTGCACCATTTTGTGGCAAAAACATGGCGACAAAACCGGAAAGAACGCCTAAAAGCCATAATATAACGGTGCATAAGACGGTCAGTTTGATAAGCTTCCGTGTCCTGAGAAGAGAACGATCGTTTAACAATAATAGCGCGACAGATTCCTGTTCATACCTTGGTGATATGTTCATTGTAAATAATAGATCTGTCCTTTGAATGATTAACAGTTTCGCTCAAATTTATGAGTTACCTTATATCCTCGATGCCCAAATCAATATCTAATAAAGAAAGCGGATCGGCTTGAAATCGTGTGCATGTCGTAATCGAGTCGATACATAGGGCATGGCAAGAGTAGTAGCCCCGACCTTGTTATATTTTATGGAAGACTTTCGCACTTTTTTTCTTTGTATATTCTAATAGCCTAAGTCTTAATCCATAATCTACCCTATGTCACAGTTCTTCAAACGATGTGAATAATATTAAAGTCATAGCAAAAACAGTGCGTTGTTTAAAAAAAACTCATTTTTTGCCTGAGTTTTTATCGATTTTCTTACAAAAGAAGAAGTTTGTGATTCTAATAAATATGCAAACCTCGGATTCTATCCGAAAGTTAGATGTACTGTAGAAAATAACTTACATATGCTTAGGATGATAAAATGAGTAATATTTAAGCATCCTCGCTGAGCAATCCTAAATTACAAGGAGATAGCCATGAAAGAAATAGGGAAGAAATTGTGATGACTTCGTTGTCCTTAAACTATTTTTATGGTAGATAAATGCGAATAAATAAACAAATATATAGAAAGATGGAGAACTTCTATCGCTATCGGAATATATAAGTATTCGTTCAAAAGAGCTGTACACAAGCTTCGCGTCACGCAAAATTCGACCCAATTCTTTTACTTGATTCAATGCATTTTTTTTAGCTGAATCCGAATATCTATAGGTTATTTAGATAAAAAGTCGTCTTCGCGGGGAAAAAAATACTCCAAAAACCAACAGTTAGAAAAAATTATGCTTTTTTACTAGGAATTCGATGATAGGGTTTGGAAAATTTTTCGTATTTCTTTGAATATTTCACTCATTCTATGTCTTTATCATTAACGAAAATGCACGTCTGTTAACTCACCCGATGATCGAATGTCTCTCATTGAAAACGCATCAATCCGTTTTCGAATGAAGATAGACATTTTTTTCTTTCACCATTCCACTTCCCAGATGCCAGAGATGCATTCTACGTATTTTTTCCCTAACTCGCCTTCACTCTCAAGATCATCCTGTTATTTTTCGACGTTTCCTATAATATATGCATTTTTTGATTTTTAGCAGTATTTTTCATTTAATTTCTTGTTTCTAATGGAACAATTTGTTTAGAATGATAAAGACCCTTGTGGTAGTCATTATGAGTACCTATCGAACTAGTTTTTTATACTTGTAATCATGGGTACTTCGTGTACAATATATAGATTCGTATCAGTACCTGCCGTTCTTTTGTTTAGAATAATCTGCCTATGATATTTTAGTTTATCAATTTGTGTATATAACATCCACTGACATGTGTATCCGCATCGTGTGGACCTACTGCGGATACAGGGAGATACTCTTATTTAAAAAAAAACGGTTTATCGATTTGATTTTGTGCTGCCATAATGCGGCAAAAATCAAGAAGAAAATGTCAATGAGCAGCAGCTATTAGAAGTCGTTGGACAAAGAAAAATATCGATCAGAGCCGCCACCAGGGCGGCCTGTCAGGCCATGCGAAATTTCGAAATCCTAATATGATCCGATATATTCATATTATATTGAAGTAGACTAATAGACTAGTTCAAGCCAACGTGATTGACCGGATTCAATCCTTTTCTGTGCAAGAAAAATCTCTGACAATATACTTATTTCACATTAGTTTTCTACTGTATGCCAGGATATCTCATACAGGAAAGGGTTGAGTCCAGCAAATAATATTTGTCTGATCTAGTCTATTAGTCTACTTCAATATAATATGAACAGATCGGGTCAGATCAGAATTCCGAAATTTCGCATGGGCTGACAGGCCGGCCTGGTGGCAGCTCTGATATCGATCGATTAGACGATGTTTTGTACTCGAAAATTTCCATCAATGTGTCTGATCTCAATGAAAATAACTGAAGAAAATAATTTTTTGAAGAACAAAATCAGCATATTGGATATAGGACAATTATTTGAAGCAATCAAACAAGAAAAATCTTCACGGTCCTTATCGTGTTTCCATATACCTTGGTGAGAAACTGATTTGGTTTTAAAAGTTATTGGTGGAGTTCGTGGAAAAAGCTACAATAATTGGGGTACAATTCGGGTTGAACAAGATTTAGAAGAATTTTTCGAAGACAACAGAGGTGGTAAACATGATGTAAGCTTCTACGATATCTGTCTTGAATTAGAAAATTTAATCAAACTAAACGCTTTGGATGCATGTGAAAGAAAGGCAGCGTCTTTTACTTCTTCGGAACTTCCTGGATATCTAGATGAACGATATTATGACTTAGTTGGGCAGGTGAGGATTGTTGTGCTTCTAGATTTCCAAATTAGAAACGGTTGCTGGGAGATAATTATGTTATAGAAATTACTATCTCGCCAAAGTTTCATAGCGGATTAAATGTGGTCAAAGGTTGATGGGTGCATCTAAAACAATTGATTAGGCATCGCGGAGATCAAATATTTCCTACTATGCTCAAGTTGATTTAAGAATCTAGATTCAATTTCGTTGAGAAAAATGTTTCTATAAAGTTCACCAGAAGATTCTGGCGAACTTTAGTAGCGTATGAACGTAGTGATACTTGTGACTGGTTTCTTTTTCCCCAGTTAAAGTATATTTCCTTACCATCTATTCGACATAAAGACGTATTTCTTTTTCAAATGGTCGAACATCACATTCGTAAGGTATATATGTAAATAAATCAAAGAAAATCACTTCAAAATAAATCTCGCACATATCTATGTGTAACAGAAAACTAGCTCGATAAGTACTCATAATGACTACCACAAGGGTCTTTATCATTCTAAACAAATTGTTCCATTAGAAACAAGAAATTAAATGAAAAATACTCCTAAAACTCAAAAAGTGCATATATTATAGGAAACGCCGAAAAATAACAGGGTGATTTTGAGAGTGGAAGCGAGTTAGGGAAAACAATACGTAGAATGCATCTCTGGCATCTGGGAAGTGGAATGGTGGAAGAAAAAAAGTCAATCTTCATTCGAAAACGGATTGATGCGTTTTCAATGAGAGACATTCGATCATCGGGTGAGTTAACAGACGTGCATTTTCGTTAATGATAAATACATAGACTGAGTGAAATATTGAAAGAAATACGAAAATTTTTCCAAACCCTATCATCGAATTCCTAGTAAAAAAGCATGATTTTCTCTAACTATTGATTTTTGAAGTATTTTTTTCTGCGCGAAGACGACTTTTTATTTAAATAATCTATAAATATTCGGATTCAGCTAAAAAAAATGCATCGAATCAAGTAAAAGAATTTGGTCGAATTTTGCGTGACGGGAACCTTATAAATACGCATACGTATATGTGCATATTTATCTACTACATATCCGGCTCGTAAGCTCTATCAGGCAACGCTAGTTTACATCATTAGGCTCGGCTGCCTAAAGGGATGTGAGAAAAAAGTATACGTCCATCACAGGTTTTTACCTTACTGCTTTTGCCGTCATTTAAATGTGAAGACAATAGTTATGCTAGTAACTCGTATCTCTCTCACAATCGTCTCTATTTTTCTCTCACCTACGTATAGATTTTTTTCGTTATTACTCTTTTTTATCCCTACCAATTTTGCCTCATACTTTTCGAATGCTACGCATGAATGAGGCTGACTGAAATAACAAATTTTACCTGGGTATTTGATAAACAGAAATAATATATTACTGATCTGTGCATTTCTTCTATAAAAAATGCGTATTAGTATAAGCTTACATGAAAATAATTAATTTACATGAGGCGATCAGAAAGTTCTCGAAACGTCCTTTTACCTCCAGTGTTTTAGATATTGAAGAAGTGATTATTTTGCATATAGATGACATTAGATTTATCTATCGACTTATGTAATCGGATATTGGTTAATTACTTTGAGTAAAAATAAAACTCATTTTCGTATATACCCTATTTTGATAACGTAAAATTTCGTTAATGATGTGAATGAGAAAATAGTTGACTTCGGAGTAAAAATATCTTTCATAGAACAATTTGTTTTCTTTGTTATTTCTGCTGTTTAGAAATCGTAATGACGGACTAGCGATCGATGTTGAAATAAAATATACCCCAGTTTCCTTTTATATAAAAGTGGTAGCGTTTTCATGAAAGAAATGGCTCAAATTTCACGATGTGATACTGGCGTCAGGAGATACGATTTGTCTTCTTCATGAAACGTCACAAACAAAAAATGAATATCGATTTTAAAACTCGAAGCCATAAGCAATCACTCCATTATGCTGGGATCTCTGTTTTGAGTTTAAGGAATTGTGCAAAACATCTTGTTCTGCACGCTTTTGCTCATATACGTACAATATAAATAAATGATACATCATTACTTTTCCACAGTAAAATTTTGAGAGACGAGTAGATTTCGAGATAAGGAAGTAGTAGTAACCCAAAAGAGTATATAACCTCAGAAGAAAACTGTGAAAAATCTGTAGAAAATTAGGTACCCGAAATTTTCAAAAATAATGAAATATATTAGAGGCCCTTCTGGATTCTTTTTACGTTTGCCAAATTAGAAACCACCGGAGGCTTCTTATACGCGGAGGCATATTGAATAAAGTTAGTCAAATAACTTGGCGCCTCCTATATTACTGTAATTTTTCTTCTCACTATAAATATAGATAGAGCGATGGTTGATCTATCGCATGACTGGAGTTTGTTTCTATTGTATTATTGCGCACTGTTATTTATGAAACGAGTACTATATGCCAAATGAGAGAACAGAAAAAAAAAACTTTTTCGATCAGTAATCATGTCCTTAGCTGGGCATATTGCGAATGACTGCTGTACATTTATGTCACATCGATCATTAGCGGGTGCGCAAATTTACGCACTTTACCTTTTTATTGTCCACATACACATGACTGTAAACACTTACAGTTGTCGAAAAGCAGTGGCGGAAGATTTGTTTTTCTCTCATAAGTCAATTTTAAAAAATTTGTTTTTATCAATCAACAGAGCGTCTTTTACTCCATCTTTCGATGCTTTTTGATCAGTATTCAAATGAGATCAAAGTAATAAAATTTCCACAATACCGTTTTATCTCGAACTCTATCTGGTAGCAAGAGTGTACAAAGCCATCTATACGTGCTGTTTTTTTCTTCATTTTCTCGTTTTCTATCTTTCATCCTCGTCTGCTTATCTCTCATCAGAACTAACCATCCATTTATTTCACAATAGACAATAGGTAGTGAGGATAGAACAAAGGAATACAAGAATGAATTTATCAACTCTTTGTCTCATCAAAATGTTTGAAACAATCACCTTGATTATCTAAACACAACTGCATTCTTTCAACCAAATTTTTAATTGTTTTTTTTTAATATTCTTCTTTACTCAGAGAATACATGAAACTGCCCAGGACGAAATCACCTCACAGGACCCTGTCATTTCCGACAGCTGGAACTTATCGGATCCGGCAACATTCAATAGTCGGATTTTGTCGGATTCAGCAGGATATGACAGCAAGAACCACTATATATGGTATTTCCGCTAATTGATGATCTTGACGAATTTTTGGGAGCTTTCAAGCTCTAGCTACCTTATCATAAGTAAAACTGATCAACACTTTAGGGGAAAGCAGTTTTACAATTTTTAATAAGATCTCATATCGATAGGACGCGCTGTGCGAACATGTAGTGACACATGGTAACACAAGGAATTTTTTGTACGACTGTGTCAACTCATGTGTCGCTAGTGTGTCGTTTTGATGACTAATATATATGTAGGTATACTGTGGATCGTGGACAGAAAAGGAAAAAAAGCCGTCGCCTGTTCATCTATATAAGTTCGAATCTCGCATATAGAATCCATTTCGACTACTAGTTCAATTAAATGATATATCTCAATTCTGTTCTCGTGTTTGGATATTCTCCCGTTTTCGTTTAACAGAAAATAGTGCTTATGAAAAGTATTGTACACGTACAATTTTCACCAAGACTTTTTAGATAATTGTAATAGCCAAACATGGCATCCTTGCCAAAATCACATCGCGGTGACCCGCAGGATACCGAAGATAAAATTTCTTATAGCAAGTTTTACTGGATATTACACGAGTAAATCAATGATTCTGTGCGCTTTTCGCTGTGTTCGATCAGAGATGAAACATTTCAATTTCCTGTTCAGTAAGAATTTTATTTGTTGCATATATTTTTAAAGCGCTTTTGTAACAGAAGGCGCCAAGAGAAGAGAAGAGAAGAGAGCGACTTGGGAATTTATATGTTCTGAACGATGTTTTGGTGAACGATTCATCTCATATTTCTACAGAAGGTGAGCTTCCGTTATTACGAATATAACTGTTTTCTAATTCGTTTTAATTTACGCAATAGAACCGATTGCCAATGACGACGAAGTTCGTACTTTGTACGATACACTTTTTGGTTTACCAGTTACAGAAGGTGAAAGTGAGCAGGCTATTTCGTGACCAGTCTGAATTTTCTGAATATTTTATTGCAACTTATAGAAATAGGATTCTTGAATGACAAACAAGATAGTAACGATAATGCTAAGTTGTTTTCATAAGATTTGAGTATTATGAGAAACTTCAAAAACGCTTTTGTATGAAAATGAGTTTTCGATTATAGATGAAGGCGACGACGGATGCGAGGACGATTTTGACAGACCGGATATTACGGACAATTTGCCAGCTGATGACTTTCTCAATGATTTGATATTTCAAAGACACACAAACGAATCTCAGATGGAATTAGAAATCGCAAATTACGTATGCCAAGCGAATCTCGACAAAACCAAAACCAATCGATTGCTTACATTGTTGATGCACATTCATGACCAAGAAATGCCACCACCAGCATCTTGTGCCGGACTGTGGAATAGGCTGGATATCAAATTTAAGTACAGAAAGATTGAATACTGTACAAATTGTATGTCGGAATTGAATAGATCCTCATGTTGTTGCAATAATGTTCACAAACAAATTCCGTCGGAGTTAATAGTTTTTTCAGTGGCTGACGAAATAACTCGCGTTATCCGAAATAACTATTACGCGATGTCAAGATACAAATTGAAAGGAGACGGCACTCGACATGATATCGTTCACGGTAAGCTTCGTCTATTTTATTTCTAAAGCTCTTTTGTATCATGTCTCCTGCTTTCCTTCTTCGCAAATTTGTGAGTTAGGTGACGGACGGGAAAACTGTCTCTTTTAATTTCAGGGAGATGAAACGAACCCGTTCCTTTTTTCGGCACTAGGGAGTAAATGAAAGAATCTCCGAAAGAAGTGTAAGTGAAAACATTGAGTAAACTATGGCACTAATTGAAAGCTTTTTTACCGAGTTTATCAGAATTGGATAAAATATCTAGGGCCAACAACAATTTACACTAAAACATTTTTTGCTTCTAGGAGAAATTTACAAACGACAGTCAAACCAGAGTCCAAATCCAATTACTTTACTATTATCATGTGACGGAAAACCGACACTTAAATCAAGTAAATCTTCTCTTTGGCCAGTAAATATTTTACTTTTATCATACCGAATCTTTCTATCTACTAATTCTCTTATATAGGTACTGATCAGTATTGTTGAAATACCTAGACCTTTTAGAGATAATGAACAAAACATGATCTTATTAAGATTGTGGCATTCTTGTCGTTCACCAACAGCTACTCAGCTACTTGATCGAATTACTAAAGATCTTTCGTATCTCATTAAAACTAGGTTAGATGTTGAGATTAACGACGCAGGTAAGAAAGCCGCATGCTTTGCGAAAGCGTATATTTCCTATTCGAGGATTCTGACTAAATTTGTGCTCGACTGATGTTATTCTAAGTCGCAGTATTCTAGTTTCTTTCCTAATACTTATACTCAGGAAGAGTTAGAAGTACATCAGTCCAAGTAAAAGGATTCGAGATAAAAGATGTAAGAATTATTCTTGAAGATACAGTTCACCCAACAGTTGAATGATGTAGTTGTTAAAAATAGAATGAATTATCAATTATGTTTATTTAGGTCGAATACATTTCGATATTTTCGTGCAAGATGTATGCGCAGATGGACCAGGCCAATCAAAAGCTACTCAAATGGTGTCACACAATGGTTACTTTGCATGTCGTGTTTGCGAAATTGAAGGAAACTATTATGCTGCTGATAAAACTTCTACTTATCCATGGTCTTTATTCCATGATACAGATCCATATTTTCGAACACGGCATCGATTTGCATTATGTTTACAAGAAGTTCACCGCCTAAGAGCCATTGATAGCAAAAATATTAACGTGCGTGGCATAAAAGATGTTTCTTCATTGAATCAACTCATTTTTATACCAACTCAAGCGATTTATGATTATTTTCATCTGTGTTTGAAAGTAAGTTAGTATTATCTTAAACTAATGTTATTCTCTCACATACGGAAAGAATTTTTCCAAGAAAATCTTCCGTTAGAAGACTGCGTTTTTGGAGACGCCCTAATATTTGATATAGATAGCAGAGAATAAATGAAGATTGCTGAAATGTGTTCAATAAATTAAAGAGAGGGAAAGAGGAATGTGATCAGATTGTGAGTGAATTGATGAACTTGATGGCAAAGCTCGAAAAGTGGTAAACAGTCTATTTAGATTGTATTTTGCTTTCTATTTAGGGTCATATGAAAGCTTTACTCAAAGAGTGGAATGATATGCATCGTGGTGCGAGTACTCAAACCCGTGAAATAATTCATCAGTTCGACATATTTCTATCAGATGTTAGTTATCCGCATACCATTCATCGTCGAGTCCTCGGTTTCCGATGTTTTCACTACTGAAAAGCCAATCAACTTCGACTATTTCTTCTGTATCTAGCTTTACCGTTCTTGTTGTATTTTCGTCGATATTTTCCTCCACTATTAGATTTCCATTTCTCTCTGTACGCAATCTACATTCGTACTTTATGTCATTTCGATGAACACAAACAAGTTTATGATGTACGTCGATTTATCGAAAATCACCTTCGTCGTTTCTCCGAATTTTATCGAAATTCGAAAGAACTTCTGTCAACGCATTGTAGCGTTCATTTATGGCAGCAGGTTATTCGGCATGGATCACTTAGCTCAACCAGGTAATACATATTGATCTACTTTACTCGCTCTATATGTATACTATACCAAAATCTCTTTTTTGTTACAGAAGAGTTGTGTTTCTTAGTATATATTCAGTGCTTTTTGTATTCTAGTATGTTTGGCTCAGAATCGTGCTTACACGGATTGCACAAATTAGCACATGGAACCAGAAACATAGCGGAATAAATTGCTTATTGGTATGCAGTTCATCGTGCTATTCACTCTAAATCAATTCAACAACAAGCTGAGTTTGCTCGACATGAACACTTGATCGATGGTTACCTTGATCGATCTGTTATCAGTAAACACAATCAACAATTTCACGACTTGTTTTCACGTAAATTTTCTTGCTCAATGGATAACTCAATTGTTTTCCGCTCTCGTTACTCGAATGGATTAATTGTTTACCATTCGCTTTCATACTCTTTTCGGAAACAATCAAACAGTTTTAGTGTATGCGTGGACAATCGTCATTGTGCGAGAAGTATCTGTTTCGGCAAAATTATTTTTTTCTTTCACTATCAAGACAAACAATTTTTTCTTTTGTCTTGTCATCCGTGCTCTTTAAATTGTGACTTTTCGTCGACAATTCTGGTGGATATAGTGATACCTCACTGGCCTGAACGTGTCGATAAATTTTATTATCTTGTTGATAAAAATGCCGTGAAATTCTGTATCTTTTCTTGTTCAGGACTTCGTTCAAAGTGTTTTTTTTTCTTCCTTTCCGTGACAATCGCTTCTTTGTCTGCACACCTATTGATAATGAACTTGAACATGATTGATTGAATGAAACGCAACATCTTTTCTCGTATCATCATCGTTTTGTCTCTCCTCAGATAATTTTGAAATCCGAGCCGAATTTCTCTTGCTGTGAACTCACTTCATTCATTCATTTGACGTACGTTGTTATATTTTTTCCAATTCTTTCGGCCAATGAATATTTCTAGGGAAATATCTTCAATTACTACGTACAGAAGCAGTGCTTCTCGACGCATTGTGGCATCAACCATATCATCTCAACGTGTTGTTTTACCGGCTGCATCTTCTCAACGTTCTCTTTCACCAAGTCCATTGTCTCAACGTATTCCTTCGCCAAGTCCATTGCATCAGCGTGTTCTTTTATCGAACCCTCCAGCTGAACGTGTTGTCTCACCGAGTACTTCATCGCAGCGGTTCATCACACCCAGTGCTTCATCACAACGTTTCGTCACATCCAGTGTTTCGTCGCAACGTGTTGCTCCATCGAATGCGTCATCGAAATATCATCGTTCATTTCGCCAATCGGCTGATGTCGAAGATCAGTTTTTATCCTTTAATGAACCATGAAGTCAGAGAAATAGTTTCTTTGGAGCCATTCTTCCATCGTCACCAAGAAGTAAGAAAAGTTAACTATTTTTCCTTGATTCCATAGCGATAGCGCCTTTGAGATGTAACTCGGTGTATAAATAGTATGTATCTATATCCTTGCTGAAAGCAAGCCATTTTCTTTTCGTATGTCGAGCGAAATTCGTGTATGGAGTAGAGTGTATTACACAACAATATTCATTGTTTTCGTGTTAAAAAGTGAATTATTATCTATAGATCAAACTCAAGGATTTACTGCGTCGAACAATGGTCATCGCGCATCTCCATACACGACTAATTCTCCACGTTTAAATCGGCGACAAAGCAAAACGTTCCGAATTGTATGATAAAATTAATATCTATGTCTTTTTTAGCGATTATCTTGTCTTCGAACGTCACTGCTGGACCTAATCTTGATGAAGATGAACTTGATCAATCTCCTCGTCTATTTACTATTCAGGAAAATAAACTAGATACAATTCTTCAAAGATGCACTGATCTGGAAAGTGCAATGCACTTATTACAAACCAAAACTGATAAAGTATCAAAACTTCTTCTTACATTAGTCAAACAGGAACAGGTAAATTTTTTATTCGAACGCATGAACTCATTTTGCGGACTGTTTTGTCACGTACCGTTGAAAATGTTTTATTTCTATCTCTACTCAGAATTTTTTACATATTTCAGGATCATGTTACTACAACAAAGCCGAAATCAAAACCCGATCCTATTGTAAGTATCATTTCAATGTTGGAATTTTTGTGGCTTAATATTTGAGTATTTATGGAAGCTGTGGAACAACGAAAACTTACTTCTGAAACCTCGAACAGCTTTGCCAACAACTTACCTATGCTATTTAGTCCGCAAGATGTATTCCACCGATGAAATCAAAGCAAACGTGCCACAGCTACCTCCTGCAGACGATGACGAACGATTGGCAAAAATTAAGGGTATTTATTTCTGCTATTGAAGCAAAATAATAACAAGAAGATCATAATCGACCGCTTTGAGCTTGAGGGTGCAGTCGAGAAGATACTCAAACATCCACTTATTGTAGAGATAGGCAAACAGTGAATCATGTTGAATTCTAATTGCTGGCTGTAGATAGTTCGTTACATTCTCTTATATTTCTTGCTTCATGTCTTGATCTTTGTTATTTATATTTGTCTCTCGTAGAATGTCTGATCGCGTTGTATTTGTCACATGATCCTGCATTGATTGAGGATTTCATGGCAGATAAAGGTCATGCTAGTTTGTATGGTCAAGAACGAACGAAAAAAAGTCGAGATAAGTAAGTGTTATTTATATCAAAACGTACTACTAAACATCGATTTGCTAACAATGTTACTATTTCGACTGTAGGAAACATGCAATGTTAGAAATTGCTAAAATCAATATTGATGAAAACGTTGACATGAACAAAAGATATACAAACGACAGTATATATGATTTCGACATGGAAGCTGATATTGATACAATCGATGTATAATCTAATGCTGTACAAGATCTCGTACATAGCAGGTGAGCACAATCTCCGATTTTAAATACTGATGAAATCATTTCTGTGAAACGATTTTTTGTCTTTTTTGTGATTTCTTTTTTTCTATCTTGTCGAACATTTGTGCGTTTTTATGAAAATGAAAGTTTTCGTATTGTTGTGCTGACTGTTTTTTTGTAAAAGGCTTGCGGGAATTTTACTGTCAGATGTGAACACTGTTTCCTGCATAGTTGTATTTGTTTTTTTCCGCAGCAAATAAAACGGCTTGTTCCCTTTTCTGAAAGAAAGGGTTATAGCGTTCTAAAATCGGTGGCTCAAAACCTAAAAGTTTGTGAGTTTGTCCAATCCAATCAGGTTGCAGCTTTTTATAAACCAATGAAACCATAGAGATAACCATACGCAAATGATTTACCTGAGGTACTCAAGGTCGAGGATCACGAATCCGATATTAGTTTTTCCGTAAAAACTATCTGTCCTGTTTTTTGCGACAACGGTTTACTTTTTGGCAAAAAGATATTTTTTTATAAGGGTTGACCGAAGGGTTTTCGAGGTCGAGGATCACGAATCCGAGGTTAGTGTTGATTAATTAATTATTAGTTTTGAGGGTGAATTTCGTTTTATTCGCTGAGCCTGGGCTTGTTCCTGTCTCTTTACAAAGGAGATATTTTTCTTGATCTGTTCTAAAATCTTTTGTAGAAGATGGTGAGCTGAACGCTATTCACGGACGTCATGCGTACAAAGCTAGTAGCTTAAGAACTTACACAAAAAGATCTAATGCATTGTACATAATGATGTTTCTAATTCAAGAAATCCGAAAAAATGATATGAGCTTCGTATCATCTTTGCTTTGTAGGCTACAGACATCATGTCCTTTCATGGAAATTTAGTAGAAGTAGTTCGCAAAGCGATATAGTCGTCGGTGGAATTCCATCTTAGTAACTACAGACGCGTGGACTATAGAAACAGTATTCTGAACACATGCAGCGCTATGAGAGATGTTCGTTTCGAAGCAAATTATAGAATAAGAATTTCTTATCTAGTTTCTTTTTGGTAGTCGAATGAATAGAAGATCATGACTGTGGAAGCGACAATGAAAGAAAACCCAATCGTTCAGTTTGAAAGTTCATCAAAGGCGAAGAGAATAACAGAGACAGCATGGCAACGGCTAGCCGTGAGTGACCGACTGGAGGGAGGACGACGAACGACTAGGCGTTTAAATGCTAGAATAAGCATAAAGTGTACACTTAGCATGACCTTGCCAGGCTTCAGAGAATTTTGAAAGGGATTTGACGAATGAATATTCCTAAATGAAAATATTCGACAAGGTATCATTTTGTTTACAGGAGAGAAAAGAATCGGAATATCGCTGGAAGACACAAGCGAATGTTCAAACTTTTCAAGTAGTCTACTGTATACCGTCCGTCTCTGAGTGACTTAGTATAGCATTTATGAAAATTTCCATGCGCGTGATGTGAAAATAGAAAAACAAATGATCTGTTTCTGTCTATAATCTTTGTCTTTAACCTAGATAATTAATCGCTATGATTTGTAATCTAGTATCTGTGATGACTAAAGATTTGGTACGTTAATTGAATGAAGTGTTGAATTATCTCTTCAAGTGTGCCAAGCATATTTCTGTTTTCTACCACGAGGTTTTTATCGAACTGCTCTGACTGATAAAGAATACATTGTCAACAGAATTGCATGGCATGCACATATCCGATCAAGTTCGGTATATTATCATTGTGAATATTAAACAAGAGTGTCTATCCCCTTTAATTTAATAATCACAAATAGTTTCTTTGATGATTATAACGATTATCAGTTCGAAAATCCTACTGTATTTTGGAAAATATATGGCATTGATTTACCAGTTCTGAGCGAGATGGCACGATGCTATTTGTCAGCACCAACAACTAGTGTCCAACGTGAATCAGCTTTTTCAATATCTGCACATTATGGCCGAAAAGAACGATCGCGCCTCTCACCAGACAATTTGGCTATGTCTGTGTTTCTCAAAGATAAACTTTGAGCTTAATGACTGAATGTTGACGTACAGATGAAATACTATTAACGTTTGTTTAATTTTGTGAAAGAATTCCTTCTTTGTGAAACTTCATTTTCTCTATATTCGTTAGAACACGAAAAAATACAGATTATAGATGAAAGAACATGATGTTCCTTTATAGGATTGTGAAAAACAACTGAAAATAGAAGAGAAAATTCCTTTTATTCATCATTTATATGTCTGTCAGAAACTTAAATTAGGTTTTTTTTGTAAACAAATATATCATAAAATAATGACTTATAAATGCACAAGCAAACAGACTTCTGAAAAAGAGCGTTTTCGCTACCCAAACTCAAAGCCAAACTCAATACCCAAAGCCAAACTTCAAAGCCAAACTCACCAAACCCAAACGGTTTGGGTTTGGTGCATGCCTAATCAGGACCTATCAGGGTTTTTTTTTAAAATCAGGAAAAAATCAGGAAAGTAGTGCCGCTGCGACCCCTGCTAATCTAAACAGAAGAACAACCCAATCACACAGCGCATCAGCTTGTCGACGGCAAAATGCAACAATTCCTTGTCCACCTGATTTTCCAAATGATGATTATCATGTGGATGTTGACAATTTAAAAGTAAATTTTATGGAGAAACTGACACTTCCCAACATCGCAGGTCTGGCTGAAATGTGTCGTTTAAAATACAACACAAAATATCTCAGCGTCTTACTCTACATGTCATTACGATATTTTTAAATTAACTGGGGTGATATTGATGACTATCTTAAAAGTATTGGTTTTATAACAGCGAGAACTTCACACAAATGGGCTGACATATTTTTAGATGGTGATCATAAAGAATTTACACATGATTCACGTGACGGTAAACATTCAGATTCATTTTATGACATATATCCAGAAATCGAGGTAGATGGCAAAGCATTTGTTGCAGAACAATATTCACAAAAATCAGGTGAACTTAAAGCGATAGATCTGGTCCGATTTGTTAACGAAAAATATTGTGAATTAAATGGTATTGACGAACAAGTTAATGGTGGTTACATAAGATCGGAAAGAAGTTGCCAATTAGATCTTCGTAGATGGGGAGCGAAGTTTGAAGCAAATGCACAACGCCCGTACTTTGAGGGACATGAAAGAGACGATGTTGTAAAACATCGTAATGATTTTATAAATTATTTGTTGGAGCACAAGGATTTTTATCATACCATTACTGATGGCGAAGCACCTGCATGGAATCTTCCAGTTAAAAGTCCTCAAAGGATAATAATATGTAAGTAAATTTGTAATAGCTTGTTTTCTACTTTTATTCTTCAATTTTGGTGATGAATCAACCTTTCGAAGTGGTGAAGTTTGTTCAAAACGCTGGTTTTTCAAAGAAGATACAGCATTTTTTTCAAAAGGTCGTGGTCGCAGCCATATGGTTTCTGATTTCCTTGTTCAACATCCATCTGGGCCATTTTTTGAGCTTAGTGAACATGAATGGAAGCAAACAGTAAAAAATATCCATCATTAAATACAAGTGGTGAGGTAGATCATGTTGAACGAACTGCATCCGCGAGTATCAACATTGGGTCCGATGCATATTTCAACAACGAAACAATCTTGAATCAATTTGAAAGATTGTTTCAAATGCTCCAATTCAAACAGTATTATAAAAAACATCCAATTGATATTATTGTGGATAATGCAAGAACTCATACGGCCAAGGCTTGTTCACTGCAAGACTTTAGAAAATCGGTGGGAGACCATTTTACTGTTGACTGCATCGAGTATCTTGATGAAGATGGTAATCCACACATTATTGATTGATATTTCAAAGATGGAACAAACAAAGGTAAATCAAAGGGTTTAGTTGAAATATGCAAAGATTTAGGTATACAACTACCACCTAAAATTAAATTAGAAGAAATTCGAGAACTATTATCAGGACATCCAGCATTTCAGAACGTAAGTAAAGCAGATCTATTTCATTAAAAACACATCACGCACTATATTCTTTTACTTCTCTTTATCTAGGCCACAAAACTCGAAACTCTTGCACTCAAATACAAAGTTAATGTTATATTTCGTCCAAAATATCATTCTGAACTCAATGCAATTGAAGGCCTTTGGTGTAGTCAGAAAGCATTTGTTCGTTCACGTACCGACCAAACCTTCGAAAAAATGACAAAATTAATATCTGAATCTCGTGCATATTTTGTCGAAAGGAGTATTGCACTAAAACTATTTCGTCGTTCTTGGCATGCAGTTGAAGCATATTCTCAAGGTCAATCATATGATTAGGTGTTAAAACTATTCTTTAGTCAATCGTGTAGTGCATCTGTTGAATCACATGGACGAATATCAAACGATATTATAAACAATGATCAATAGCTTTTTTTCTATTTGTACTCTATGTGTTTCTATTTATACTTGAAATAAAGTTTTTAAAACATCTAAATTTATGTTTAAAATATTCTCACATATTGTCTAAGATCCAACGAGCAAACTTTAGAAAACCGATTTCCTATACCACCGGTAAAGTGAACTTTTCTTCACAAAGAAAAAGGATCAAATCAAAAGCGATGCGTAGTCTTTTGGAGGATGGTATGAGGTTTAAAATTTTTTTTAAATTGCCCGCCCCCACCTCTCCACAAAAAACTAGATAGGTTTACAAGATCCACCTATTAGTACTGTAGTGGAAGCTATGAGAAATACCGCTATTATAAAAATTGTTGGGTTAATACCAATTTCACACGTTTTCTAGGATCAGTTTTTGATGGTGAATGTAGAAAAAAAATTTCAAAAAGTTTCAAGAACAGGAACATCGTGATTGTTGCATGTTACCCTCAAAAACCTGATTTTCGAGAAAGCTCAGGTTTGTGAGGGATTTTGCGATTTTTGACTACAAAACAGCGTCAAAATAGAATGAAAAGTAGCTCATCGTGATCAGGAGCTCACTCACGCTCTATCAAGCCATGTGCAAAAAAAACAAAAAATAAATTTCACTGCACTTTTGCATTGCGTGCACCTTACTTTTTGAAAAAATCTTTACAGCAAGGACGTACTCGTTCAGTCTCTCTTTAAAAGTCCGAAGAGTCCTCATATATGAGAAGTTTTACTGTGCCTTATGTGACACTTTCGATTTTGAAAACAAATTCAGTGTCAAATAAAGCCTTTCTCCAACACCTCGCAGAAACAATTGCTATGGAATACAATGTCATTTGTTTGGTTAGTTCAATCTTGATACAATCTCTACTTTGCAAATTGTTCTGTTGTTTTATTAATATTTTTCTATGAAGTACTTCGTTATGTATCATTTACCATTCTCATAGAAATCTATGCCAGTATTCACGTAGGATATCTTTGAGCAGAATTCGACTTTTTCTTGAGCCGATTCGTTCCAGTGTGGGATCCAACAGAACTATCACCAGTTCCGAGTACAACTTGATGAGCTCGATCATTTCAAAAAATAAAATTTTGGGGAAAGTCCTTCCTTCAACTCAAAAATATCTAAGAAAAACACCCTCAAAAACATAAAATTTTTGGAAAAACCCGCGCGAATTCGTCTCGCTACCATCTGTCTCGGTTTTAACACTGATTTCAGATCAAACTCGACAAGTTCTATCCATTCCAATCATACAAATTTTCGCCCTCACCCACACCCCCCCTGGCGGGTCCGATGTGTTTTCCCGGTGATGGAAAGAACAGTACTTCCAAGTTTCTGTTTACAAGAAATTCCTGCAGGATACGTTGCAAGCCTGTATGGATCCTGGAGGAAGATGCGGGAAAAGCGCTAGGATCGTTCAGATTCCGGTGGGATCCCTATTCCGGAAGCATCACCTTGGGAAGAAGAACCTTAGTCATTGTAAGTGTACGGTGTATAGTTTATATGGGTAGAAAGTATATCAGCATCACATGTAACAACAGACTGATAAAGTTTCTCATATGCACCATTCTGAATGCTGGCTACTTTGTTACTGTTACTCACAACTGTATCATGTATATCATACACTGCTCTGTTAGTGTCAATGAGTGAAATAATAATTCCTAATAATTGGAAAAAAAGATCTATAGTACATATTTGACTCTATATCTGGATAAATTCTAAACATATCTTCAAGATCTTCGAATTAAAACGTCTAAAAATATCCTTCTCACTAATGTGAATTTTGAACGGACTTGTACCCGTTCATGCAGCATATTCTGTCGTTCAATAGTTGTATTTGTCTCGAAATCATGGTCATTTAATCGAAACTAAATTGCAAGATGAAATAACTTACCCTTCACATTTCTTTCTACCTCGATTTCATTCATGTCTATATTGTGTGTTGGATATCATTTTTATAATACAAAATGATTTTAATAACATCTATTCAAGCTTTCATTTCTGACTTTGTCAGAAAAAGAATGGCAGCAGAAATATTTTGAAAATCTGCTACATAGAATCTCATACTGGCACGTAGAAGTATCTTTTTTTGTTCACTGATCACAACTAAAGAACGCAACATATCGTATAGAAAATGTCAAATATGACTGAAGATTATTTGACTTGCTGGCGTAATCACATTTACAAATGTCTGGGAATAATCAAACTCAAGATTTGTTATTGTACACTACAGACAGACAATGATCTATGTAGTTTTGTTCAATATCACCTCAGCAGTAGTTGTCGACATTCTAGTTTTTATCGTAATACTGTTTACTAAATTTATACTTGACTTGATTGCGGCGTGCAAAGAAATGAAACGTAAAATGGCATGGAAAGATATATGTATACTAATTGTTAACATGTATCAGTATAAAATAAATTCAACTATTGAACTTTTAAAGGAAAAAACTCACGAACAGTATACTGAAAATGTTCAAGAAAAAAAGATTTACGTTGAATATTCCAGCAAACAAATAATCGGCGAGTCGATATTGACTAACTATTGGATAAAAGAGAGTAAATAACACACACCAGCTATTCATAAAAGTACATTTTTTAAAAATTTGTGATGTTTAACATGAAATGAATTAGAGAATAAATATAATATTTTTAACAAAATAGCATGACCTAAGATAACGTGTTTTCACGCGCTAAGTGTTACCAATATCCTGTCAGTTAATGGCCTTATTATAACTTTATTTCTGATTCAATGACACACGCATATCTTTTTCATAGTTATAGAATCTATATATATAATGGGGATTTAAATCAAGAAAGCAAAGTTTCCAGAAAGTAACTTAGTTTACATATAAACATGGCCATACCATTGACTGTTATCGGACAAGAAATTATTCGTTATTGTGGAACATTTACTTTTGCTGTCGGCATCATCGGAAATATTCTTAATACTATCGAACTCCTTAGTCTGCGAACTTTTCGGCAAAGTCCATGTGCATTTTATTTAACAATTATGTCAATTAGTAATATTGGTTGTTTAGGTTTTAGTTTTTCTCCATTGATTATGGTTGCTTTAATAAATTTTGATCTAAGTGATGTGTCATTATTCTATTGTAAATTTCGACGATGTTTTTCTCAAGCAAGTATTGGAATTTCAATGACATGTTGGTGTTTAGCAACAATCGATCAATATTTTGCTACATGTCTTTATCCTCGTTGGCAACGATTTTCTAATATAAAATTGGCTCATTATGTAGTAGCCATAACATCTGTTATTTGGATATTACATGGAATTCCATATTTAATATATTACACTCATGTTCGATCATCTGTTACAAATAAAACGACTTGTACTGGAGTTAATTCTGCGTTCAATTTCTATCGAACTTATATTTTTACTAACGCTATTATTGGATGTGTTCCAATTGTCGTTGCCGGTGGGTTTTCACTGTTAGCTTATCGTCATATTCAGTTGTTGGCTTATCGTGCAATACCTCTTGTCCGACGTGATCTAGATAAACAGCTAACGAATATGGTCTTCGTGCAAGTTCTAGTATTTGTATTTACTCTCACACCATATACTACTATCAATACGACTGTGACAAATATAAATCTTACAAATGATCAAAGTACTCAAATAAAAATTCAATTGGTTTTAAATATTACTCTTGTTCTTTACTATTTCTCTTTTGCAGTGAGTCTGAATTTCGTATTCTATGCATTTCTCTTTTTTTGTTTTAATTTAGTGTCCATTTTATCTTTATTTATGTTCATCTGAACGGTTTCGTCGACAATTTATCTACGTATTATCCAAAATTGTCGCCAAACCTTGGCAACGACCGAGAATAATTGTAAACCATATTGTGCCAGTGTCTTAAAATTTAACAATGCATGAGAATGATCTTTACTCAACCTTTACTCGTGCATTACATTTATGACTGATACTTTTTTCCACAAGTTCGATCTTATGTAAAAGGTTGTAGTTCGTTTTTGATCTATACAACAGAGTAACTTAACGAGTAAATATGGTATTCATATGTGACTGTCGTTTTCTACATTTGTAAACATCAACAATGATCCCATCTCATCTACTCGAAAATGAAACATTGGAGAATTAGTAAACGATGACATTATATCAAAAGCCGTGTGAGAGTAAATACAAATACTAGAACTTGCACGAAGACCATATTCGNCTATTACAAGTTAGATTTACTTTCAGCTTTTGTATAAAATTATAACTTTTATTGAGAGATACCACACAGTCAAGACATTCTACCTTTTCCAACGATGAAAGTGCACTTTGAATGTTTTTTTTTCTGCTAAGTCTCTATCAAATGACATCATCGAAGGAAATTACGTTGGAAAAATCCAGTTCATGTATGATTGGAAGTGGCTTTTGAATCATATTTTTTCAGATCGCTATATCTTCTAAAAAACTGTATTTTAGCAAAACTTCAATTTCTAAAATGTGTTGATGGCAATATCAATAGCTACGGTAAATGGCATCACCACGGGTCACGTAGATAGAACTTTTGATGCACTATAATATGGTGTAGTTTTTTACTGAAAACTGGGTCTACATAGGGGAAAACAATTTAGAAATATAAACTTGTAAGATCGAAAAATGTTGCAAAACCCTTTTTAGAGGCGTGTTGCTTCCGACTTTTTCTACCTCAAAGATTCGATCACGAAAAATATTTTTTCTACAAAACTTGAACTTCAGACTTTGCTCTTTCCAACAAAAAAAACATCTAACTAGTTTAGAAGTTCGCAGAGTGATTTAATACACTCAGACATTTGTGCAAAGACTTTTGCATCGCATGTTAATTCTTAATCCATAATCTACCCGGTTTCACAGATCTTCAAACGATGTGAACAATATCAAAATCGTAGCAAAAACAGTGCGTTGTCGAAGAAAATCTGATTTTTTACCTGAATTTTTATCGATTTTCTTATAAAAGAAGAAGTTTATGATTGAAGTAAATATGCAAATCTCGGATTCTATCCGAAAGTTAGATGCACTGCAGAAAATAACTTACATATGCTTTGGATGATAAATTGGGTAATATTTAAGCATCCTCGCTGAGCAGTCCAAAATTAGAAGGAGATAGCTATATGAAAGAAATAGGGAAGAAATTGAGATGACTTCGTTGTCCTTAGACTATTTTCATATTAGAAAAATGCAAATAAATAAGCAAATATATAGAAAGACGGAGAACTTCTATCGTTGTCGGAATATATAATTATTCGTTCAAAAGAGTTGTACGCAAGCTTCGCGTCACGCAAAATTCGACCAAATTTTTTCACTTGATTCGATGCATTTTTTTGCGCTGAATACGAATATGTATAGATTATTTAGATAAAAAGTCGTCTTCGCGGAGGAAATAAAATAATACTCCAAAAACCAACAGTTGGAGAAAACCATGTTTTTTTCTAGGAATTTGGCGGTGGAGTTTGGAAAAATTTTCGTATGACTTTGAATNATGTATCGACGATAAAGAAAGATCAAAGAAAAGTTTTCTCTGAACGTTTTCCGGTGAATAAAAATGTCACCATTGGACTCAGAATTAAATTCTGCATCGAATACACTCGGTTTTATCGACCGGAATTCGTTTTCAGAAAATCCTTAGTTTGATGGTACTAGCTCGATGGTGCTAGCTTCACACCGATAAAATTGTTTGATTAGTATACACTATTTCGGTTAATATCATTTCAATTCTTTATGATTGTTCTGCTGAAATAATAAGATTATTTCGTATGACATGTATTATTTTTTTACTCATATCACCATTTCAGTACAAAAAGTCTTCTGTTTTTGAAAGAAAAATCTAATTCTCGGGCACCATGTGATAAAAGAAAGCTGTTTCCTTCAATTAAATATGAATTTCTTTTCTTTTGGAATATTTCGATGATTTATATGCGTTTAGAATAATAAAAGTATTCATAGCAGCTGAGTCAAAACTATTCGATTCGATAAAAAATATATTTAAAATAATGTGCCAAACAGCAAAGATTACTTTGTTTTCTGTAGGGAGAATTTTATGTTTTTTTAAATGTTTGGAATAGTTTATGGTATTGTAGAGATATGAGTATATAAATTATTAAGAATTTAACAATCTTAATTCGATTCGATTCCTATTCTAATTTTGGTTGATATTTAAGGATAATTGATTTAGTACTAAGGCGTTTAGTAATACATTGCATTTCTTTCATTCATCAATACGATTCATTTTACTGATCACATATATCATGTGATCTATAGCTAGTTTTATTTTTTATAGATAGATATTTAGAGATTTATTTTTATTATTCTATTCCATCAAACGTCAACTAACATGCGATGTATAGGAGTTTCTATCCCTCAGCTCATTTGATGAAATAACTGTTCCCTTCACTTTCCACACAATGTGCTTCCGTAACAGATATCGTTCTTTATTTTTTGCTTCTCTTTTCACTACATGAAGGAAAGAAAATGTGAAGTTATCTTTTCTCAAAAATTAGTTGCCACGTAAGTATTGATGTTTCCGTTATAATGACAAGCTGAGAGCAAATTCACTTTGACGCTTAAAACGGTGATTACTATATGAATTTCAGCGCTCGTGTAATTTTTATAACTATGTTTCAAAAGCAAGTGTTAAAAATATCAGTCGTCATGATTTTTTTTTTCACTGTAAGATTGCATGCTGGCTTCCCACTTCCTGTTTTTCCTGTTTTTTTTTTCAGGAAATATATTTTCTTGGAATATTTTTTTCCTTTTCTATTTGCAAAAACTTAAACATCACCAAATATAAGCTTATAAAAAATGCGAAGTAATAATGTAGACAAGAAAATTGAGAAAACTAAAGAAGAAAGAAAAGAAAAATAGAGGAAAAAGAGGACAAGTGGGAAGCCAGGTTGCATATAATATTTATTTTCAAGTTCTATGAGCGTTGATTTTTTCCTACTAAATGTTATTTAAGTAGAAATTCCTCAGCACTAGAGATTTTTATGACTTATTTTGAACATCTCGGTATAGGCGTAGGATCTTTTACGAGGCACTGACATTTCCAACGATCGAGAAAAGTTTGAAATTTATTTGAACAGAGATTTGCGACACTTTAGGTTGACAATCGAGAACCCTTTTAACGTCTGAAGATGATAATGATATCCGTTGTGTTTTCGAACGATTTTGACGATTCTTGTTGGCTAAGGTAATACTGTTCTCGGTTTTACATAGGTGATGATGAATAGAATTTCTATTTTTGTGCATTTCTACAGTTTTAATTGCGAACTTTACTGTGTATTTAGTAATTTCATGACCTATTGATGTATCCACACATGATGGTTTTTGACCATTTTGGTATTCTCCAAATATACTTTAGAATGAAGTAATACTATTATTTATCAAGCGGAGCTGTTCTTATACTAACGCGCAGACTATGGATGAGCAAACATGTTATGATTTATTTTGGAGTCTATTAACAAATGCAAAAACAAATATAAGTGCCGATGGTCCTTATGATGCGATGGCCTTTATTTCACTTCTTGATGAAACAAAACAGTGTGACTCGTATCTGAATATGTCAGCCGCTCGAGAAAAATATCGAGCACATTTAAGCAATAATACAAATCATGAAGACCTTTATGAAAAGATTATAAATATTAAACCGCTCTCCGAGTTAGAGAAGATGCAAGCGGCAAAAGCTCAATCGATTTTATATCCTACTGTCGAAAGATGTATACTGCAAGGACTTAAGTTCTCTGATAAGCTGTATTACCATACGGTAGAACGGAGTCAACGCACGCTCGTCTTCATAGGTCTCACCGGTGCAGTTGTTTCAACTTCAAAAATTGCCTTTCGATTTATTAGAGATCAAATTGACAAAACGTATAAGGGAAAATCTTGTTCGCCCTCTTCTCCGACTGTATCAGCAAAAAATAATAAGATATCACCAACATCAAACGATATTCCTCGATATGATAGTCCTTCGTCCTGTGGAAACATAGGTCAATGTGGTTCAAATACAGATTTTGAAAGCTTTTTTAAAACAACAACTAATAAAAAGCAACAGACAAATAATAGTGGCAAGAAATGACTTTATATATGACAGTTGTGACTTTTAAAGTGGTCTATCACTATATTTCAAATAAATGGTGAGCGTGGATGAATTTTTTTTAATGATTGGAATGTTAGCGTCATCATCCGATGACGCTAACTGTGTTTGTTTTTTGTTTCTTTTCTTTTCGTTTTCCTTTATGGATGTCTTTCTATTCTATACGTATACAGTTTTCGTCTCTTGTGATATACAGTGGCCGCCAAAATTATCCGACCAAAAAATAGAAAATAATTATTTGTTTTATATCTTCCAAACGAAACGAGCTAAAGACCTGCGGTCTTCGCTATAGTACAACGGCACTAGGACAATTCGTCGCAGACTATTCGTCGCAATGTATTGTAATTAATGTGAATCATATTCTGATTCTTTTCTTAATTGTTTTAACTTAATTTGTAATCTAGTTACTGAATAAATGTTGATTTCGGATAACTGTGTTAACTTTGGAAAGCTAAAACCAATTTTTTCATTGACATCTTGAGAAGATTAAGGAAAACAGGTCAATCTAAAGATTTTATATAAAACGATTCCGAAAACAGAACACTTTCACATATTATGGTAACGTCGATCTTGGTGAATACTTGAGAAGCTTGACAGCCAATGTGTCAATTTAAATAGAATTCTTTTTTTTTGTTTTTTGTCATATTTTCTCTTTTCATTAATAAAATTATCTCTCATCGGTAAACAATCATTTATCAATTTCTATAAATTAGTCTCACGTGTATATTCTTCGTGTTACTATTAATTAAATGTGCGACGAATAGTCTGCGACGAATTGTCCAGTCACCAGTACAACTCATCGCTTCTACTACGTAGGGTATCTTAAACCAGGATTCGAGTTTTTCTTGAATGGATTCGCCTGAAGCTTAGACCAAGTTAGACCAACATTAGACCAAGATGCAACGCGAGAAGCTCTATCGAATGGTGTGTTTATTTTTACCAAAAGACCTTTCCTTCTAGTAAAAAACCTCGAAAAACTAGTAAAAAATTGGTAAAAAATGGTAAAAATGCAGGAAAGCCTGTAGGGATTCGCCTATAGGTTAGACCAAGCGATGAAACTTTCAAGATCGATAGATCGCGACGAGCTCTATCGAATGAACACCTTTTTGGTTCAATTCGAATAAGTTTTAGTAGTAAAAATCCTCAAATATACCTGTTTTACTAGTAAATCTTACTAAAACCTGTAGGGATTCGCTCATAGGTTAGACCAAACGCTGAAACTTTACACAGTGATAGAGCTCGACTTGCTCTATCGATTGAATACCTTGGACACTATCTTTGAACATCCCATAGTGGTACAAACCAATAAATAGTAATTTCTTACTAATGAATTTACTATATCTAAAAATATTGATTTAGAGGTTAGATCAACGTTAGACCAAGATAGAACGAGAATACATCCTATTCCGCAATGTTGCACATTCGGGAATCAGTTCCGCACACGGAATCAGTTCCCACGATCCCGGAATTAACCCGAAGCAATTCCGGAATCGATACACACAATTCCGCGGAATTCCTACCAATTCCGGAATCACACCAACTCCCTTCACCCTCACATATAATCACACCCACCCCCTTCACCCTCACCCTCAAGTTTTTCTGAATTTGAAATGTTTCGTTATTAATATTATCTATGACTGCTTTCAGTGATACACATATAACTGAACTAAACCATGCTGCTTTGTGATATTTGTGTCAATCGAAAATGTCTAATGAAATAAAACGATCCCTATGTTATTGGGAAAGGAGCGAAAGAGAATGCTGAATTTCATTTTGTTGCATATGTATACAACTAATTAGTAGACAGAGGGGAAAAGAACATATAAATGCACTCGTCCGTCCATTGTGATTGACAATATCAAGGGATTGCGTTTTTTCGATTAGAACAGGAAAAAAACGGTTTACGATCTCTCTCTCTTTCATTAACAAACATTCATTAACATCTAAACAATCATATGAGAGAGAATTACACAGCTTTTCATTGAAAATAGCTATACTTTCGCAAGTCAAGTTCATCTGAAAATGTCATGCAAGACTATTGCAAAGAAGCATCCTAGAAAAGGAAGTCAAAATGGCAATACAACGCAAAAATTTATTCATCAATTTGAAAGTGTATTAAACGAAGATATGGTTACAATTACAAATTCAACACAATCAACTTCATCTGCATCATCGACAAGAAACAAACGGACAATTATGGAAAGTATGAACGAAACATCAAATCAAGACGAATCAGCCGATAGTATGGAAGAGAGTACGGATGTTGATTCTCGTAAATCAGAAGTTTGGCGTTATGCTGAAAAGCTTCCAGGTGGCAAAGCCAAATGTAATAGTTGCGAACTTATAATTTCGTGCAAAGATCATAATACAACCGGCATTCGTCGACACTTATCTCGATGTTTGAACCTTTCTCAATTTATTAGTGTCAAATCAAACTTTCGACAAATCGATCAATCATGATATGAAAAAACGATTGCACGAATTGGTTTACAAGTGTATTATTGAAGATGGACGGAACTTCGGTGACTTTCAAAAATTAGGAATGCTTCGTTTGTTCCGAGAAATCTTGCCAAGTAAGCGAAAATGTTCAATGATACAGTATGAGATATTCGGGTGGATTCAGTCAAGGTTATTCAAAAGAGAAAACAATTGCAAAGGTTTAGACAGATGAATTGATTGCAGCTAATTTGTTAACGTTGTTACGTAGAAGTTAAGTAATCAGAGAGATAGATCATTACATTTACTATTTTCATATATTCTTGAAATTGATATTAATTAGGACTATATTTAATTCATTCTTTTTATGGCATATTTTTCAGGTTACAAACCACCAACCCGCCGAACTGTACAACGCTAATTGAAACGACTACATAAGTGTCACAAACGAAAACTCATGGAGGAATTGAAAAGTGTCGATACATTATCTGTCACTACTGACCTATGGTCTGACAGACAGCTGAATTCATATCTTTGTCTAACGGGACATTACTTGAATTCTCAATCAAAACTTGATGCTCAAGTTTTATCATTTTCTACGTTTGCTGAACGACACACAAGTGAAGCAATTTCTCGTACAATAAAAACTGAATTGAAACGATTGCAAGTATACGAAAAAGTTCATACTATTACTTGTGATGGTGCTTCAAATGTGCGCAAATCGTTCCAAACACTCAAACCAAAGCGTATACATTGCTTAGCACACAAGTTGCATTTAACAGTTTGTAATGCGCTCTGTTTATGGGTGAACCAAAATGCGTCTTCATCAGCAACAAATGATGAGGAAGATGAGCGAACTGATTCAAGAAATTCAACTAGTGAGTACTACACCAAACTTATCACTAGAAGAAAAATTGTTTTCATAATAGTAAACTGTTGAATTTTACTCAATATTTTTCCTTAAGGTACCACCAACAATCAAAGCAATACTACTTTCGAAATGGCAACCGAGTCAGAAGAAGCTATTGCCGTTGCTGATGATGATAATCATAACGTTGAAGAGGAGGAGGAGGAGGAAAACAGCAGCGATAACAACAACGACGACGATGATGATAACGGTGATGTCGAAGGAAATGGTGAAGATAGTAGTTATGATTATTCATCAATGGAAGAAAATTTTGACACGCATGCTGATCCGAATGCAACACCAGATGCTGTACATGATAATTGGGAAGAAGGAGTCGTGGTGGATCGTTCGTCGATAGCTTGCATCGAGCAGTACACCATTAGCCAAGCTATTCAAAAATGTCGTGGTCTTGTGAAAACAATTAATAAATCATCGATTTTGTCCAGTTTTGTTAGTTACTACAAAACCAAAACAAACGTGAAAAATTCGTTAATTATTGATTGTAAATCACGCTGGAGCTCCACGCATCGTTTAATCCAATCGATTTTACTTCACAAACAAATTATTGGTCGACAATATGCTGAAAAATATGATTTGAATCTTACAAATAAGCAATTAACAAAGTAATCCATTACAGGAATATCTTTGCTTTTTGCATGCATTAGCTTTTTGAAGTCTTATTAAATATAAAAGTGATTATCCGAATATTTTCATATCTCAGTACTAGTAAAATAATAATCCGCTGCGATATATATTTATAATGACATCGAGTGCACTCTAGAATCCTACTCGTTAGTTACAACACATTTGCTGGATGTGAAGTTTTTCTTTACATGTTTGACTGATGATAGGTCTTGATTTGAAGCACACTATGATTGTTTCTACAGCTGAGAATTATTTGAGAAAGACTACATCATTGTTGAATAGTCATTGTAGCACACTCAAAACGCAGTGTTTTATTTTAATTTAGATTGTCGAAGTTTGAACTAAACCGTCAAGAATGGGAAATCCTTGACCAAACGGAAAAGATTCTATTGTCATTTGCAGAAGCCACGGCAATGATCAGTGGAAAAACGTACAGCACAATCGGGCTCGGTTATTTAGCTATTACCAGTATCAAAGAAACTCTTGAAGAAAGAACCGGCAATAGAGAGGCTGATCAATTAAAATCTTTGTTATACGATCAACTTACTCATTATTTCGAAAATGATTCCGATCAATATGAATTATTGAAAGTAGGCTATAATTAGTATTTTATCTTGCAGAACTTGCTAAACAGGGTCAAAGAGATAGTGTTCTTCGGATATAAAGCATCTGTTAAATGTTATGCCTGATTAATTATTCTAATTATGATTTTTGCTTGCCTATCATACAACTTCATAGATACTGAATTAATGTACAATATTGATCTCTTTTTTTATAGCATCACGCATTCTTCGATCCACTCGGCTACGGTATACTGGATCGTCGTGATCGAACAAAGATTGAACGCGAAATCAGAGATTTACATAAAGAGCAGACGTTATCAACAGCAAACACCACTTCAAGCAACGTTGTTTCAACTCCAACACCTATACGTCGAGCGAAACCTACTTCCTTACAACGTTTTCTTGCTACTGTAGGTAAAAATCAGTCTTATACTAACAAAGAAGATACAACTTTATCAATCACGAATGAACTTTCTACCTATCGTATACTTGCATTAGAAGAATTTAGTGAAGTTATTTCTGAACAAAAGGAATATGATCCGTTCATGTTTTGGCGATTACATGAAACAAAGTTGAAGTTCTTGTCAAATTTAGCTCGAAAATATCTAATAGTTCCATGTACGTCAGTACTTTCAGAATCTACATTCAGTATAGCTTCTTATATTGGTCGCAAAGAGAGAAATAGATTAACGCCTGAAAATCTTTGCATTTTGGTTTTCTTGAAAGATAAGATGGACGAACAGATGACGTAAATACAGCACACAATACAATTGGATTTTCATAGCTCTCTGTTTTTTAGTTTCTTTTTGTAACGCTCATTGACTTCTTTGCATACATTTATTATTCCACTTTTTAAGTATTTTCTGCAATTGTAAACAGAAAATCAATGTTCCTATTTTTATTAAGTCGACTGTCTCTTACGAAATTTCATGTGCAATTTTTGTTCCTCAAAATATTACAAATATGCTTCTTTTATGTCCATTTAAATTTACATTTGTAGTAGCTAAAAATTGATTAGAAAATAAATCATAGGCAAAAATCATTGTCCACTGAACTATGATAGCTTTTGAGATCTGAAATACGGTCACAAGATAAACGTCTCCCTAATAGTCAAGTAACTTAAATGCTGTGGCATATTTTCACATCTATACAGTAACTCATGATGGTAACAGACCACAGAAAAATAATATTCACTAAGGTTTCTTTCAAAAACAGAGTAGTAATGACGTTCTACATTAATATCGATTTCAAAATATTAATTGCCAAATGATTGGCTGCGGCATTCGTGGCATAATGAAAGTCAAAACGATTATTTGTTATACAGAGCGAGACAGACCGAGATCTCGGGCGAGACGACCGAGACCGAGACCGAGACCGAGACCGAGATTGACTGAGACCGAGATCTCGGTCTCGGTACATCCCTAAGTATAAATAATCATCACCATTCCCCAAAACACCACTAAGTACAACACCACTGTTTATTGCTGAAGATGTTTGTTGTGACTGCCGCTCTTCTTGTTCTTTTGGTTGTTGTTGTTGTTCTTCAGATTCACTTGCATCCTCAAGACTATTCGAATCAATTGTCGATTGATCAAGGACATAACGATGATGTTTATGCTCTCTATAGAGTAAATTACGACACCGACCACAAATAATCATTTCAGACTGGAGTTGGATGCCACGGGTCTTGAGTAGAGCATGTAACCACCCATGGTTCTTATTAGAAACCAACCGAAATCTAGCTTTCGATGAACGAATGTTCGTGCAACGAACACGACCACAATTAATACAAGACGGACGGTCAGCTACAATTTAGCTATACAAATGACCAGACTTTCGTAAAATACAAAAAAGAAATAAGCGTTCTTTTTCATTTCTTCGTGGCCTAGATTACATGCATCCCATATGTATTGAACACGTGCACTGTCTATCATGTCATCAAGGATTTTTCTCAAATAAAGAGAAGAGAATAAATTTTTTTTTGGAGTCAACGCTTTATTTGTAATTGAACAACCAGTTTACAGGAAAGGAAAACAAACACACAGAACGAAAGGAGAGAGAGAAGAAACAAACAACGGACAGACTGGTTATAAAGCTGGCAGGAGAGAAAAGAGACGCATGACTGATGTCTTTGTGACAATCTCTCTGACGTGCGTTGTACGCGTGATACGATTTTCCTCATCTAATGGATTATCCGTATTATGTCCTTATCTCAGTCCATTTTGATGTACTTCGATATGATAGA